TTTAGCATCTTGCCTGGTCCAGAAAAGATAGCAATAGTTCAGCCTTGAAAATTTTGAAGGTGGAAAGCCACAAGGGACAGTGGGAAGTTTGGAATCCTTGATCCCACAGCTTCCCCAGAGCCCCCCTGAGCAGGCTCACCTCTACCTCCTGCCAAGTGAGCACTTCTGTCTCCAGGTGGATGAATCTTAGAAATCCGGGGTCAGTGGTCAAGAAACTCATCTTGGAGTGACCCTGGCAAGGAGGTTTCTTTTCTCATGTTGCATTAAGTGGGGTTTTTACCTTGTTCTTGAAACGTTCCGACCCCCAGGCCCAGCAGTGAGTCTTTCCTGATGTCATACTCCAGTCCCCAACCCCAATCCTCCACATTCCCCGTTCTTCCAAGTAGACATTCAAACCTCACTCCCTGGACTAAAGTGACCTTGAAGCCCACTAACACATTCCCTGATGGTTTCCCCAAAGGTGGTGACAAGGGATGACTGACAGATTAGGGGGCATGAAGAGTGACTGGTTACAATTCCCACAAACCATCTCTTCTCCCCTAATCCATTCTTTGATATAGATAGTTAATGTTTTCTCTGTCTCATAAAGAGATGGTTAGGGGATAATTTGACAGAAGTTCAGCATTGTTAAGTACAAAACTTAAGGTCCAAAGTGAACACTTGGAAGGTGGACTTTGCATAAGTACTGGCTACATGCCAGGCCTTGTGCCAAGTACGAGTGATACAAATATGAATAAGTTTCCTAGTATCTGACCCAGATAAAAGGTAAATAACTGTGAGTTAAGGTGATGAGTGCTAGGGTCAAAGTGTCTGTGCACACTGAGACATTTGTTAGGCTGACAAATGTGAAAATGGAGAGATGAAAGGCAAATGAGAATAAAGAACATGTACTTTGTAGAGTAAACACATATTTTAGTGTTTTGACCTGGGTGCAGAAGCTTCATGTATTCAGTAGTCCTCATCATTTCCCCCAGCAGGTATGGGCAGCGAACAGGGTACCCCAGAGAGTCCAGTGTCCAGAGGAAAATAAGGCCAAGGGAAGTCACACCATTCACTGGGATGGGATTTCTGTTTATCAACCAGTGTTTTGTGCCTTCACGAAATTTTTAAAGGGATTCAACTTGTCTTACAGATGAAATGGAGAGAAAAGGAGTTAAAAAAAGGGTCTCGAGAAATACACAGCACACCATAGCTTGTACAGCTAGGCTTTACCAAAACTGGGGGCTTTTCTACTTTCATTATTATTTAAAAGCACTTGACAATGTTAACATAACTATGTAATTGAAATCTTGGTTTTTCCATTAACCTTCTGGTTTTCCTAGCACATCAACATTTTAAAAATGGTCTGCCTACTAAATCAATAAGAAATTCTGATAGAACAAATTCTATACGCCATAAAATATTGTTTCAAATGAGAACTTCAAATGTTTGTTGATTAAAATTACCCAATTTTTTAAATGAGCATTATTATAATAATAAATGCTATCAGAAATAAAACATTGGATAGTGTCAATTTATCACTCAGAAAAGTAAAACCTCCAAAGGCCAGAAAAGCTTTATATGGAGCATTAAGCAATATAAGAATCTTTCTTGTAACTTTTAAAATTGGGGCATTGTATTTTGTTAGGTTTATTGGAGCTGTTTTCAGGCAACCTTTAACACACCAAGTTTCATTTCCATTTAAAAGGATGAAAGCATAAAAACATATTTAATTGCCTTAAAGTCTTTCTGTAATAGGATAGACAGGTCCAGACTATTGATGTGTTAATCTGGCGCCTTTCTTACAAGCTACAGAGCAGAGGAGCTGTGATGAGCAGCCCCTGTGATTCGTTGTCCCTGCTTCCGCTGCCGTGCAGGTCCTACTCCCAAAGACGGCCACAAAGATCTCTGTCCACAAACTCCCTCTGCGGCACGACCTTGCCCCCCACCAACTCCCCACATCCAAAAGTGGCGTGTACACTATTATTCCTATTCGGTGGGCCCTGTGACTACTTAGACAGATGGAACATGCCAGAAGCAACACTGGGCCAGCTGTGGTGTATTCCTGCAGTGACCTGGCAGTTCCTGCTTTCTGTCTCCTGGAAGCTGGCTGCATGTAGGAAGGGCTGCTACTCCAAGACCACAATACGATGAAAAGACAGAGTCACATGGAGAACCCTGGGGAGTGAGATGCCACAGAGAGAGAGAGGAGGAGGCCAAGAAGCAAGGAGGGAAGAAATCATCCTGGATGACCAGTCCAGTTGAACCTTCAGATGACTGCAGCCTCAGCCACTGTCTGATCACAAACCCATGAGTAACTCAGGTTAGTAACTGAGCTCAGTCACCTACAGAACCTTGGCAGATAGTAACTTGTTGTTTTACCCACCAAGATGTGGGGTAATTGGATGCACAGCAATAGAAAACTGAAATATCCGCTCACTCTTACAACAAAATTTCTCCTCCAGGATCTGAGATATGGGACCCCAATATTGCCTCTCTACTTTCTCCTAGTACTTTTCCTCTGTGGGGGGTTGTTTATATAACATACATTCAAGTACTCTCTTAGGGGAAATGTAACAATGTGCAAAAATTTTTGAAGTTAATATGCTACAGAGTATCTGCTATAATGGACTTGGTAATAATAACAATTTACACTTTAAAAATGATACCTACCATTAATTGAGCACTTGTGTGAGCTAGATATTCTTTGGGGCACCTTGATCACACAAATATGCTGAAGACTCATAACAGCCCCTCATTTTGGCAGATAAAGAAATTCTGGAAGTGAAGTAACCTATGCAAAATCACAAAATTCATCACTGGCAGAGCCAAGATTTTAGAATGTGTCCACAACTCTGAACTCCAGGCTTTAAACCACACCTCACATACTGTCTCCAAATCTTTATACTTTACAATGAACTTCTTAAACGGCCTTTTCAGGTGGCATATATCTAAATAAGATGCCGATATCTTTTTTTTAGAGCAACATTAGGTCATGCTATCTTAAATATAACTTGCCAATGTAATTTTTAATTTTACGTATGTATTTGACATTCAAATACAGCCTTAATAAAGCTATTTCATTTGGATAAAGAGGCATTTTATAGCTAACCTAATTATTAGGACTAGTGTCTGATTGGTGGGCATGGAGAAAATGAGAGAAACATTGGCTTTGACATATCCCGTGTTTGATTCTCTTTACACTTTTATGAAGAAAGCATTATTATGGCACCTATTTTACAGACTAGAAAATGACACTTCAGAAATTTAAAAGAATTTGCCAAAGTTACCTGGAAAGTGATATGATCCTAAGACAGTGAGTCCCTTCTACCTGTACTTCCCCTATGGCCTGGAAGTACACAATTAAGCCATTCCTCCTTTAGGATATTGAGTCACACATGGATCATGTTATACAATTGTTTACTCTCATTTGATTCCCAGTATTGCCCCTGATTGCACTCCCAGTCCAGCCTAAGCCCTCGTCCTCACACCCCAGGGTATTAAGGATGCTGGAACATTTCTGTTATCTCTGAGTCTAATGAACCAAGGAATTAGGGGATTATTTTCTGCAACCTTCAAGGGATAATGCTGAAATGTTACACACCAAAACCAGAACTTGCAAGGATCACGAGTTGAGAGAAAACCACTCTAGGAGTTACAAATTGTAAAAATGAAAGTTTGGTGCTACGGGTCATGCTGTTCTCACTGGAAACATCTGTTGATTCCTATATGTTTTCTCTGTAGAAGCGCATTATCTTGGTCTTCTTTTGAACAAGATACACGTTGCCTTCTAATTTTGCTACTTCTATTTCCCTACTATTACTTTTAGTTTTCATGTAAACTTGATCCCATATTGAAAAAAAAATGCACATTGAAACAGAGAATCTCTTCTGGCACATAATTGCTTTTCTAGTATTATTCATATGCTACTCTTTTCAGCAGGAAGTGGTATGAAATCTAGCTCAAAATTTCAGCCAATACATTACTGCAAAAAAGAAAAAAGAAAAGAAACTTAAACCACAACCAAAGTTAAAGTTGAAATGAAAACATGTCAACATTTCATAAATGGTGACTATTCTTACCTTTTTTAAAATAATTCAAGACTGCAGCACAGTATTAAAGTGTAATTTGGGTGACCAATATTTTGAAAAATTGAATTGGTGTTTTGTCAAATAAATTTAAAAGACACCTTCAGAAACTTTAAGAGATTCCTCTGTTCTAATGTAAAATACCTTACTTTGGTGTGGGAAAAGGATCATATAGAGCAATGAGTTCTATGAGGTTGAAAGTTCCTATGAAGATGAAATGGTGCTTCTGCATTTCCAAGAGACCCACACAGTGTCAGCCCATAATTCTCCCCATCTGCCTAAACCCTTTCCTCCACACTAATAAGGGGAGACAAAAGAGCACTTTCATTTTTCTAGTCTCAATTTCCCAACCAGATGCCATTTCAACTAGTGCTCATATAAACATAACTAAGCTTAGCAAGTTTCCAGAAACTGTCACTGGAACAAGCCAGTTAGACTTGGGCAAATGATTCAGAATGGCAAGATCATCCGTAATAGTGAGAGAAACCATACTGACTCTTATTATAGCATTTAATAAGAGAAGAAAATGGAAATAAAGTTACTGAAGAAACTTCAGTGTTACTCTTCAAGTCTACACGAGAACTTCTATTCAAAGATATCAGAAGCTCTGTTCATTGGGCTGAACAGGTGAGCTGCTTTATCACTGGCCGTCTTGAAGGTATGCATCACTTAAAAACTGATGATAAAACAGAATCAGCAACTCATATAATGTCTATTCGCCCTCTACCTTACCTCTGAACTGAATGCCTTTCAAATGACCTCCAATACTTCTTGAGGAACATTTTTAGGTACTGACAGGCACTCACACATCTTAGCGGGAGACTTGGTTTCTGGCTTCTGTTAGATAACATCTTAGCCTATGATCCCAGACCACAGTTTTTCAGACTTCCTCTCAATTCAGTCAAAAGGGCTGAAAAGAAAATGTATAAATACCTGTCTCTCTTCTTACTAAGGTTGATGCATAGATGCTCTATATCTTCAAATATTTTACTTGTCATTTAATTAAAATCCCCAAAATTGTTTCATTCATATTACCTCCCTCTGGACCTTTTGTAGGATGTGTTCAGGGCAGTTGATTGTGGATCTGAAGAATTTTAGCTTCCTCTTGTGATTTCTCAGGAACTACAGCCAATAAAGTCCTCACCTGTCTTTTATAATGGCAGAGTAATAAAGACTGCATGTTCCCACCTGCTTCTAAGCCCAGGGATCAACAGTAAATTCCATCCAATGACTGAATGGTACTTTGTGTAATTACCATGACATCAGTTTGATCTTATCTTGTTTCAACCCTTAGATCATTTTTTGTTTTGAGCTATTTTCAGGTGGTGATGACCCCAAGGTCAGCCTATGAAAAGGGAGTACACCGTCATTTTCTATCTAATTTTATTGAGACTTACAAACAACATCCTGAAAGTTGACACTTTCCTATAAACAAGATCCTCCAAGTATCACATTTAATTAGCTAAGTACCTGATGTTTACTTAAAACAGATGAACTGTACATTTCAGATAAGATATAGAGCACTTCTAGGCTTACAGTATTATTCTAGTAGGAAACAGAAAAATAAAACACACACCTATTTAGACTTTCTAAAATTAAATGGATTTGGTAAGGATGCCTGGAGAGCTATGAGGTGGTTCTGAGAAGTATGATTGGCTCTCAATATTTGTGCCTTTCTTTTTTCATTTCACTTTCATAAAGCTCAGTTTTGTCCTAAAGAGAAAATACACGTGTTATGGCTTGCTAACTGCAGGACACCTCACTCCAAGATTCCAGGTCCAGCGTCTCTCCACACAGTGCCCAGGTCCTCAGGCTCCGGCTGCAACTTTTTTTTTTAAATGTTTTATTAAGGTATGATTGATATACACTCTTACAAAGGTTTCACATGAAAAAACAGTGTGGTTACTACATTTACTCATATTATCAAGTACCCCCATACCCCAGTGCAGTCACTGTCCATCAGTGCAGCAAGTTGCCAGAGATCCACTATGTTCTGGCTGCAACTTTTATCCAGAGAGTGAGCCTTGACAGTTTCCTTTGTCCATCTACTTTGCTCAGTACCATTTCTGCAGGAACCTGTTTTGATATAAACTACCAAGGACCTTCCTGGGGGAGCACTTAGGAGATCTGTGTGATATAAAGAGCAACTCCTGTTTAACGTAAAGACACTGACCAAAGAAAGTAAAGTTGTTCTGTGATTTATCATCTGTGGTAAGTTGATTTGTTTCCATTATTACACCTAGATTTCCATTATTCTCTTTCAATAGTTTCTCCCAATATCCACTCTATCCGTCTACCTTTCCCCATGACAATGGGTGTCAACATTATTCATGAATTTCTGCATTCAAATCTCAAAGGATTGGCAGCACATTTTCCAACTAGCAGACTTATTTTGGAAATCTGGAGCTTTTATAGTTTCAGGGGAAGGAAACTTCACAAGCCTTCTGAGAGGCTCCTTTCCCTACCTCCCTTCCATTCGGGCACCTCGCTCTCTTTTTTAGTCTTTCCCCTCTGTTTGTACCTTCTTTCAATCCTTCTTTCTTTTTTTATCTGGATGACTAAGTAAAAATGATGCTTCTTGTGTTCTCTTTATTTTCATTAGGTTTATTATTTAGTAACGGATTTCATCTTTATTTCATGTTTCTCAAAAAGAATGATGAGTCGTAAAGGTTAATGAAAGTTGTTAATAGTGTTTTAAAGTTCAGAGTTTGGTTGTATTTTTTTAAAAAATCATGATGTAGCAAAATTAATTATACAAAAAAGTTGTCAAAACAGCCCCTCCTACATGTGGCCACTCCCCCTCCCCAGACCTCCAATTCCCCCCACTCAGGAGTGATGCGTTCAGTTTCTTATATAGGTTTCTGCAGGTACCCTATGTATACACAAGTCACTATCACTCCCCACCCCCACCCCCACCCAAATTCTCCATACCATGATACAGAATATAAAAATTGAAGGAAACTCTGCATTTGTGCTCACAATTTAGAGAAAATTCTATTGTATAGTATAAATTGTTGTTTATACTTTATCTAAAATAAGCATGGGGAAATTATAATTGGGGAAATTAATTTTTGGCTAATTGGTAAAATATAATTTTAATTATGATTGGGTTAAGTGCTGTTAACACGAATATGTTTTTAAATCTCCCATTTTATGTAGCTGCTCTCATGCACCATCGGCAGTTCTATCCCATGCCTGACAGCCTATTTCCCCGCCTCTCGGGTAGCTGATAGGGCTGGCGGGTGAGAGCTCCAAACCCCTGCTTGTTCTTTCACAGTTACCTCCCAGATGCTAACATTTGGAGTGCCCGTTACCAGGAAGATAGACTGGCTGAAGACACTGGGATGACAGGGCAACTAGCCACCTTTTCTAGCTCCAAAGATTGAAAGTGCATCATGCTACAGAAGGCATGCCTGTCAGGAATATCTTTGCACAGCAGTACAACACGGCAAAGTACATACAGACCAGGCTAAATGCATTAATTTTTCCTAATGAAGTTTTATCATTCACACACTGAATTTTTAAAAATAACCATCTTTGTAAATGTTTCATATACTTACTTGATTTGTTTTATTAAACATAATTTGATCTTTCTAATAGCAAAGTATGATTATCGCAAACATTACCCTGCAATCAGAAGAACAGCTGAGGTATTTAAATCCTTGGTTTTTCAAGTAGCTTTCCCTTCAGTAATTACAATAATACATTGCATGATTTTTAATTTTCAAGCAATGCAAAACATATACAATGAAAAACACGTCTTCCTCCTACCCCAAATTTTCACTCCCATTCCAAGAAGTAACCCATTTTTAACAATTTCCAGACATTTTCTATGTATATGCACACATATTTTCTGGCAATTTACTGTGTACAAATACAAACATAATATACACATTGTTTACACCCTGCCTTCTTTCTTCTTCTGAAACCTATCAGTGTATCTTGGTGGTTTTCCCCATATCCAGATAATGAGGATCTAACCATACTTTTTAAGCAGCACAAAGTATTATGGACCATTAATTATTTAACCAACCCTCTTAATAATTATTTGCATCATTTCCAGTGTTTTACTTTTATAAACAATGTTATAATTATTATCCTTGTTCTGGTTACATGTCCAATTATAGTTGTAAGATACATTTTTAGAAGTGGAATTGCTAGATCAAAGAACATTCTTCAGACTTGTATAAAGATTGTTTAAGCATTCTTCTCGACCCCTCCTCAATGCTGATGCCATAAAATATGTTGATTTTTGTGAAACAGATTAAAATAGTACCTTATTTTCATTTGCATTTGTGTAATTTTGAGCTGGGCTGAATACCACTTAATAAATTTTACATCATTTATGAGTATGCTGTGAACTGCCTATTCAAAAATCTTTCCCAAGTTGTTCATTTTACCTATAATTTTAGCTTCACTCTTTTATGGCATTTTTACCATACAATAATTTATGTAGACAAATATGTCCATCTTTAAACATCTTTAACTTCTAGACTTGCTGGTTCTATGCAATTCCAAGATACCAAAAAGTATTCATATTTTATTCTAGAATGCATACAGCTTGTTTATTTTCAGTTTTGATCTTTAATTCATTTGTAATTTATTTGGCAGTTAAAAAAAGAAGTAGAAATCCAGCTTCCTTTTACTCTAATAACAAGTTAGTTGGTATAATATCATGTGAGAAATAATTCTTTTTTTTTCTTGAAATGCTTCTAAATTTGGTGTCTAGTTTTGGGCTTCCTATTATGATTTGTATTAATAAAAATGTTCAATAAGTGATAATAAATGTTTTTAAATTGTTAAGATCATTAAATATTCAGTTTAGTTTAATTATTTAGTGCCTATCTACCAAGTGTATCAACCAAGTGCATTACCAAAGGGAAGGTAAATCACATCTTTAGGTTAACAATCTGATTGCTATCAATTAGATACCCTAGGATTTTCCCCTTGACATTCTCATTCACTTGTCACAAGGCTGCTAAGACAGAACTGATTTCCTAACTTACACTCAATTCTTTAATACCATGTAATTATGTTTCTTGCCGTATGTCTCATATTCCATCTAAATCAGAATTATCAGGCTGCTTTTTTAAAATGCAGATCCCTGGGTCCCATCCGGGACCTACTGGATGAAAACCTGTCCGTTGAGCTGAGAAATTTGCATTTTATATAACAAAGCTGGAAAACCAGAAATGTAGTTAAGGAAGAATATGGTTTGTTTTCATCCTCAGCTCCCCCTGTAGCACAACTAAATCGAAAATGGCACATCATTGTCTCAGTTATATGAGTGCCCACGCCACACAAACGACTGAAACCCCACAATGGACCTCCACAACCGAGACAGCCCAGAGCAGCGAACCATCATCCCATGGCCACAGACACAAACACAGCGGCAGACAGTTCTTGGCTGAGATAAGATTTTTAATCAGCAGCCACAGGTAAGGTGACTGACGGTCTGAAAGAACGACGTCAGACGCGATGTCTAACATATGCAGCTGCAACAAAACCTCCCCACGACTGACCGACAAGAAGCACGCCGACTTGACATGTGCAGAGCAGCCAAGAATAGTCTCTATTATTTCAGCCAGAACCATGTGGCCTAATCAATAATCAAATATCCTGTTTCTCAGGCTAACAACCTCTGTCATTTGAACCTTCAGAGAGATAAAGCAACTACTGCTACAGTTATGCATAATCCTCTTCCAAAATGTCAATAAACAAGGCAAATAATGCTCTGAAGAAAGGAAGGAAGATCTCACAGGTGAAAAATAATTTGCTTAACATTTTCGCATTTCTTTTTATTTTGCACATACCTCCTCCCACTTCCATTTCAGAAAGTTTTCAGTAGTAGGCTATCAATGAAAAGCTTCACAGGAGAAATGCTTTTGCACAACAACCAAAAAAGAAACAGTTGTATGGCCAGGGAGGCTCAGTTATTTTTATAGTGTAGTATGAGAGGGGAGAAAAAGAAGCCCAGTGGAATTTACTACCCTAATTTTGCAGGGGAAGTCTTAGGAAACAGTAGATGTCCCATGGGTTTGCCCAAAGCATCTCTATCCTAAGGGTTTAGCTATTTTGTCATGAGAGGTAAGGATGCTATATTCAGAAAACTTTGTGTATTTTCCTTCTCTGCCT